CTGGTGGGCTGAGCTGGTCTCTCTCTCTCTCTCTCTCTCTCTCTCTCTCTCTCTCTCTCTCTCATAAATAAATAAAATAAAATTTAAAAAAAAAGAATCCTTCCAGTGTGACAATTTAAAAGCAGGCTTCCACTCTTAAGCCCAACCCTCTGGGAGCCAAAATTTTGGACATGTGTTTCAGGAATCTGTAGTCCAGTAAGCTTTCTGAGGAGATTGAGACTAATCTGGAAATTTCAGAAGTACAGTTCCAAAGCTGAGTACTTACGTGGCAGATGCTGACCAAAACAGGCTAGGGTGTAGTGAAAAAATGCTGCAGTTCTTTGAGACTATAAAGAATTACTGCTTGTGATGATGGGGCTGGAGCAGGGTAGATTAAATGGTTAACTGAGAAGGAGTACAAGAAAATTTCCAAAGCTAATGAAAACGTTCTGAAATTTTTAATTACCACTGGCCTTGGTCACCTGGGTATAATCTTTTGTAGTACTTCTTTACATTGATATATTATACAGAAGTGTTTTTATTGTATTTTATTTATTTAAAATATGGTTTTAAAAATTAAAAACAAAATTAATAAATAATACAGAAATTTAGTTGTATACCATATGACTTTAAATTAAATACGCACATATTAAACCCTCCATATTGGCAAGTTTTTGGTGTGTAGGTTCAATCCAGAGTAGGTGGAAAATATTGGAGAAAAGTTGCGTATGAACCAAAGAATTACAGACTTAGCCTTTTTGTTATTATTTCCTGAACAATATAGCACAAGTATTGACACAGCATTTACATTGGGTTGGGTGTTACCTGTCATCTAGCCTATGGGGAGGGTATACTTAGGTTATATGCTAATACTAAGCCATTCTGCATGAGAGATTTGAACATTGAGGGGGTCTTAGAATGAATCCCCCCAGGAAACAGGAATACATGCACACTCTCAAAATGTTCCCTCCTAGGAAAAGTGAGGCATGTTTTCATCTGATGCCCTGAGTTAGTCTGAATTCTCTCTGGACAGAAATCAAAAGAGGATAAAGTGGATCTCTCTCTCTACTCCTGTCTGTTAACCCAAGTCCAACTCCCCTATACCAACCTGATTAAAATGATTTCTTTTTTTGTTTTATGTGAGACAAGATCTTGCTCTGGAGCTCAGGCTGGCCTCATTTTCACAGCAATCCTCCTGCCTCAGCCTTCCGAGTGCTGGGATTACAAATGTGCACCCCCACACCCAGCAAAATGATTTCTGGAGTGAGAGGTCACCAAACTACTGCAAATCCTTTTCAAAGGCCTTACTTTTTTTTTTTTTTTTTGAGGTACCAGGGATTGAACTCAGGACCTTATGCTTGCCAGGCAAGTGCTTATTCAACTGAGCTATTTCCCCAGCCCCCAAAATTGTAGACAATTTTTTTTTTTAATTTTTTTTGGCAGAACCGGGGATTGAACTCAGGACCTTACACTTGCCAGGGAAGCGCTTATTCTACTGAGCCATCTCCCCAGCTCTATGATTTCTGATTTCTCATGGGGCCTGAAATCTTAAGCCCTCCTAGAACCTTTTACTCCATTTTTTAAAATGTATTTTTAGTACAGGGTCTACAGGGTCTCACTACACGGATCGGACTCATAGTGATCCTCCTGTTTTCAGCCTCCCAAGGGCTGGGATCACAGGCATGCACCACCATGCCCAGTCTCTACTCCTTCTCCTTACGCCCATCACCAGGCTTCATCCATTCTAGAATAGCCTGTAGGTGAAGACCGCAGATTCCGGTTTGAAAGTAAATATGATCAGGAAGCAAATTAGAACCATTTCACAGAAGGAAAACAAATCTACACTAATTTTAAATACTTTTCTCATCTCTATGTTAACGTAAAAAGTAGAAGGTATTTTGCTGTCAGTGTCCCCCATGAACACATGTCCCTCTGTGTGACCAGGCATAGATTCTGGATCACCAGATCCAACTGTACATAACTGAAATAAACAGGAGTTGCCACTACTTAGGACCAGGGTTAGGGTTTCACACTAGGGGCCTTACGAGTGGGTAGCAGACAGCTGTACCGTACTTTCCTAGTGAAACCACGGACTTTAGCGTGATGGTAGCTGGCTGCGTGTCTCAGTAGCTGCGCTGCAGGAATACAAGAAGCAGTCTCTGTGTTCACCAACTTGGTTTAACACATGGCAAGGGGTACCTAAGTGTGTCAAAATGTCTGCAGATGCGTTTTAGCTGTGTTAGGCTTCTGATAGGTTCTGGTCCTAATATGAATTGCTGAATTACTATGGTGGTCATCTAATATGGCTGAGGCCCTTAAAACAACAGCTTATCTTCTCTGAGACCACCTCCTCCCTTCTTCTCTAACTCAGCCCAGGGTGCAATTGCCTTTCACCTTTCCCACCACCTCAGGGAAGGTCCCAATCAGCTACTCAGGCACATCTAAACATCCACTCCACCCTTGACAAAGGGCCATAAAAGCCTCAGCCTCCCTTTGTTCCAACTCAGAGAATCCCTTATCTTCCCTAGATTCTCTCCATGTCCTCAAAGATAATAAAGCCCTTTTCCCTTTTTGCTTCTGCCTGTTTCTCCACTGTGACAAACCTATCAGTTTCATGTTGCATTTTTGTGTTTGTATAATTTGTTTTGTTAAGTGGTTTCTTTCGATTTTTCTTGTAGAACTAGCCCCATTCATACAATGTTGCATGAACATCTGCTTTTACAACTTCAGGAGGTTGAAAGTGAGTTATCAGGTAGCTCAGTTATGCATGATGATTAGGGTCATGGAAATCAGAGAAGTCAGCAAGATACAACAGGGGGGGGCGGGGAGATAGCTCAGTATAATAAGCACTTGCCTAGCAAGCACAAGGGCCTGAGTTCAATCCCTTAGCAAGCACAAGGGCCTGAGTTCAATCCCCAATTCCAAAAAAAAAAAAAAAAAAAAGACAGAGAAGTACAGAATGAAGGCTTTGTTTCAGATGAGGGAACAAACAATAATGTAAATAATTAATTGACTAGACAAAATGCTACAAAATAGTAATATACACTTGAGTGACCCAACTTTGGAGCTAGGAAAGAAAATATTATGAAGAAGAAAATATTTACAAGGGGTGAAACCTAATGGGCAGTGTTGGAAATTATTTGTAATGGACGATATGCTACAAGATGTTTTGAAGTACATTAACAATGAAATGCAAGTAAAACATTCTATATGCATCAATAGTAATAAAAATATATTCATCCTAATCCTTACTATCAAAACTAAAAACATAGCAGGACCTTACATTCTAATCTTTATAATCTGAAAGATTTACAGAGAAGTCACTGATATGTTTTTGAGATTTTAAAAACAATAGTGTCATTCAAGAGGCTTGGTTTCCATCAAACTTTCCTGAGTTTTGACAACAAAAAGACACACAAAGAAAGAGAAATCTGACAATTTGGCTCCTATTTGTTCATTTCTTGAAAGTTTTGTTTTGAACTGTCAGGCAATTTATACAACATCGGAATACACAATAAGTGATGAACAACTCGTATCATTTCATGATTGTTGACCCTTTGGCAGCATATGCCAAGTAAAATGCCCTGGTAGATGTGAAAATGTTTTATACCTTTAGTTCATAAATTTATCCTGGAACTCAGCCACCAGCTCTCTATGCATGCAGTAATAAGCTGTATGACATTGTGAACAGACTTCTGGCATGTACATCAAAAGGTAACCCAAATGTCACATTCAACAGCTGGTTCACAAGTTGCCCATTGATGTCACATGTGCTAAAAGAGCACCAGTTGGCTGTTATAACCTGACCAAAGTGCCGCCATCCTGTTCTGTATGCGCCATCTTAGTAAACCATGTTAGCTACTGTAAAATGTGACTTTTTGTTTCTTAAGCCCACTCCCTTCAGGGTGTGTTATACCCTGACATTAGTAACTCCATCTTGACTCTCTGATTCACCCCTGCCCTAGTTAATTACAATGACTCCATCTTGGTTCTTTGATTCACCCCTGCCCTGGTTCCGAGAATGTCTTAAGGCAAAAACATGCATTCCTGGCAACTGTTTGACCATATTGTCCTTATAAGGTCAGCATGCCAAGATTACACACCCTGTTCTGTACTCCACCTAGTCCAAAAGGGTAACTCCTCTGTGTCCAGCTTCCTCCAGGTGGGCTACAGCCAATCCTGTAGAAGGTCATGTGCCCCCTTAACCACATGAACATCTGCTATTGGCTTCTGTGATCGGCTTGCTTGGATGGGCAGTTTTGCGGTTTTTGGGTTTAAATTACTGTGCCTCCCCTTACCCAGGGCTCCTCTCTGTCTCTTGGACACTGAGGGTACCGCTGGGTACCAGCTAAAATAAAGCGCTACCTTGTTTTTGGACGTTTTGCCTTGTCTCCTTCTTGGGTTACAACATTGGCCAGCACGGGAACTGCCCTGAAGAACAAAACCAAAATTTCTGAAAAAACATTGCAACATCACAATAGAATAATGTATAGTACAATCCTTGGATTTTAGAAAGACATAACATTAACAGCCTCACAGTTTATAACAGCTAGATCTTGGGAAAAACCCAATTGTCCATCAACTGGTGAATCAATAAAGAAGATGTGGGTTTCTTTTTTAATACAATGGAGCACTACTCTGCCATAAAGAAGGATATGCTTGAAAGTTCTAGGTGAATGGATGCAGCCTGAATCCACACCCTTACGTGAAATAAATTGGACACACGTGTGTGAGCACCGCAGCATTTTCTCTGGTGTGAGAAACCAAAAGCATAAATTAGGATCAGGATGTACAATATGTATTATGAACTAGGAAGAAAATGTGCAAATGGGAAGGGAAGGGAGAAAGGAAAGAAGGAAAAGGTAAACAAGAGTGAGGAAAGGAAGAAAAAATGGAAAGAAAGCTTTTGCACATGGGGAAGGGAAGAGAGGTTGAGAGAAGGTAGGGGAATGGGGAAAAAAGTTGTATCACATATAGCTACAAATTCTCTATGAGGAAAGTGATCATTATGTGTATCTAAAATGTACCTGGAGGCCAGGGAGATGGCTCAGTGGAATAAGTGCTTCCCTGGCCAGCGCAAGGGCCTGAGTTCAATCCCTGGTTCTGCCAAAAATAAAAAATAAAATTAAAAAAAATAATAATAATAATAAAATGTACCTATAAATGCTTATTGAAAAAAAAAAAAACCACTGGATTCCTATGTGGTTAAAGAAAAACAAAGTGGGACTGATACTGTCAACATTGCACCATGATGATAAAGCTGGTGGCTGGACATGGTGGTGCACGTCTGTAATCCCAGCATTTGGGAGACTGAGGATCCTGAGTTCAAGGTTAGCCTGGGATATACATGAGTTCAAGGTCAGCCTTGATTCTCAGTGAGTTCAAGGTCAGCCTGGATTGTATAATGAAACCTAGTCTCAAGAAAACCCCAAAACAAGAAAAGATTGATAGTAAAGCTCGACACAAACTTAACCAAAAATGGTCTCATTTCACAACAAAATGAAAGGTAAAGCAGATGTTGCTATATGCAGCAACTATGACGTCACTCAAACATGAAGTATTGGCCAATGGTTGTGTTTACTCCATCCTAAACATGTCACGGATAAACAGTTTCATAGTTTGTAAAGAAAAATAATTGTAATTATTTATTTTTTCCTTGAATTTTTTTATTGGTACATTTTATAAATACATAGTGATAGCATTCATGATAGGGGAATTGTACCTTGCTTCAAACAATAGTTTCAAGCACTTTTTTTTTAAGATTTAAAATTTCTGAACTTAGTTCAACTTATAATACCACATTTCCCAGAAAAATGAACCTTTTGCAAAGACATTTAAATAAAATCATACCAAGATGCACAAAAATGAAATTGTCCAAAGCTTTTTATAAAGAAAAAAAATCATTAAATCATATACATAAAAATATTAGCTATGGAAGAACAAAATTAAATAGCATCTTATTCCACATAAGAAAGAAAAAAAAAGGACCAAGGGTGTAAGAAACTAGATTAATTAAAGGACTGAAAGAAAAGATCTGCTCTCTTTGAATAAAAAAAATTTTTAAAAGGGGCCTGGGAAGATAGCTCAGTAGAATAAATGCTTGCCTAGCAAGCGCAAGGTCCTGAATTCAATTTCCCGTACCACAAAAAAAGAAAGAAAATAATAAGCACAAAATACCATGAAAAAATCTGCCCAGAAAATCAGGACCTGAATTGGTAAGTGATCAATTACCATAGAGAAGAACAATAAGTATCTGCCCAAAGAACTTTACAAAAGAATTCTGGAGCAAGCCAGTGAATAGAGGAACATCCCAAGGACATCCTAAGAAACAGGAAGACCAGCAAGATATCAAATATGTTCTACCAAAGAAGACAGAAAAACAAAGCCCGTGTGCTACCAGCGTAAAAGATACGGTACTTGCCTATGGAACATGAGTTTCTCATGTATGAAGACGCTTCAGTACATAACTGAAACAAAGACTATTTCTGTGATAAAGTTTTGTTTGCATTTTCATTATAGTTCACATGGGAATTTATTTCTGCTGTTATTTTTTAGGACTTGTAAGCAGGTAAACAGTTGATGTTGAAAATGTTGATGTTTATTCTAAGTACTTATTACATATTAAAAATGTAGGGCCGGGGAGATGGCTTAGTAGAATAAGCACTTGCCTGGCAAGCACAAGGTCCTGAGTTCAATCCCCTGTACCCAAATAAATAAATAAATAAAAATGTAATATTTAATTGATATTTTACCTTTCTGTTAAGTATACATGTTTAATATCATAAAACTCATAAAATTAAAATTAATAACTCATCAATAGAAATACTCCTAAAAAATAAATGTGGGCATTCCACACCCTCCATAAGATGCCTTTCAATAAATTTATCATGATGCCCGTAAGGTCCCACCAGTATCCATTCTGTCATTGACTACTTCAAAGAACACTGCAGACATTGAAGTCAAATTTGATCAAAATGAGGTTCAATCAATGAAGCAAATCAGGATCAAGACTACAAGTTCCCCAGTGAGTCTCATGGGGAGCAGCATCCTTTTGTGTCATGTGGCTGTGTAACACAGCATGTCTCTGAGGCCACCAGCTCAACCATGTCACTCTAGACAGAAACAAACTAGTCACAAAGAAACTTCCTTTCCAGGCAGGCCCCTCCTGCATAAATGCACACACACACAAACAAGGCGGCAATGCACAAGGAAAGCGCAGACCTTGAAAACCTACTCAGTGGGAGAGAAACTGAAAGGAGATCAGAGGCTGTCAGGGTTGAGGGAAAGGAAGGTGAAGAGGGCCAGGCCGCAGAAGGGTGTGGGGACTCTTTCAGGTGGATGAAAATGTTCTGGAATTTGATAGTTTCACAACATCCTGAACGTGCTCATTGACAAAGAATTTTACTCTTTAAAATGATTTTAGTGGGCCAGCCAAATAACTCAGCGTATTAAAGCACCTGTAAACAGGCACAGGGGCCAGGGGTTTGATCCCCAGCCCTGCCACACCCGGCCAGCCCCCGGGATGGCTGAGATGGCAATTGAGACTGGGTGTGGTGGTGAGCGCCTGTAATCCTAGCTCTTGGGAGGCTGTAAACAGGCGGGTTACTATGAGTCTGATCTAGTATTGAGATGCTGAACACCCTGTAGACCTTTCACAAAAAAAAAAAAAAAAAAAAAAAAAATGGGAAACAAGAAAAAGAGAGATGGAAGAGAAAGAATGAATTAGAAAGAGAAAAGAGAAAGGCTATTGCATACAAAAATAAATTGGGCACTAAGATAGATAACCAAAAGAGAAAAATAAAAATAAGAAGCACCACATAAAAGTTAAACTTCCAAACTGAGTGCTCTATCCTAAAGCCCATACTATATGAAGAATCAAAACAATGTGGAGATTCAGTTTAACACATTCTTTGTACTGACACAACTTAGCAAGGGAATGTTCATATCTGGTGGGAGTGTAACTTGGCAAACACACTTTGAAAAACTATCCAGTATTATACAATTGAAGGTAAATAATACTCATATTTCCCTCGTAGAGACCGGAGGAAACCTGCATGTGTGTGCACGGAGAAAATCACCAAAATAGTCAATAAAATATTCAAAGCATCTCGATGTAGTAGCAAAATAATTTAAAAGAATATCAAGTTAAGGACGGACAAGATAATAGATTAGTCGGGTTGATTTGTACCAAAGAAAGCTACACACTTTAACAAACCATAGTCATCCCGCTCATATTTGTGAGAATTCTTGGACTCCTCAGAGTTACAAGATTACAGAGGAATCCAGCCGGCGCTCGCACCATTCCGTTCTCTTCCCACCTGGGCTCTCTCCCACTGCTAGTGCATTCAGAGGCAACCTCAATTCAGGGATGAATTCGAGGCAAGCCAGCCACCAGCCAGTCTCTGGAAATTCTCTCCATCCATGGCAAGACCCAGGGAAGACGGAAGACGAGTACACAGGCCCCAGAAGTGGCCCGAGAACCCAGAGCGTGTGGAGTAAGCGTGGGGAGGGAGACACAGGCTCCAGACAGGCACAATTCCCTTGCAACAAGGAGTCCTCAAAAAATTAGAGACAGGCAGACAACCATGATCCAGACCTGTGAAGCCCAGTGCCAGGCAAAAAGGGCATCATATATTTAAGGGGTGAAATCTCAGAAGTGTTAAGTTGAGCAGATACAGCAAGCAAAGCCGTCCTCGGTATCTGCAGGTGACAGGTTGCAGGATCACCTAATTCCAAGACCCCAGGTGCTCAGGACCTTGTATACAAGGTGTAGTACAGGCATATGGCCTACATATATCCTCCCTAGAATTTAAATAATCTCTAATTACTTACAATATCAAATATAATGTAAATGGTATGAATTAATTATTATTCTGGATTGCTTAGAGACTATGCACTAGGAAAGGTATGTATTTGTTTATACAGATAGATTTTTTTGCCCACGTATTTCCCATCTGCAGCTGGCTGAACTCCCTGATATGGAACCCACGGATATAGAGGTCAACTGTATTTTCACCTTCGGCATCAATACTATCTATGGGGTTGGCAAAACAGTCCAAAATATTGTTTTGCAATACACAAATATGAAAAAACATATATATACACACGGGGTAGGTAGCATCACCAAATATCACCGAAGTACCTTTAATTATTACCATCTCTAAGAAGGACATGATTGGGATCAAGGAAGAGAATTCAGGAGGGTTTAGTGTTCTACCCTGACTGGGGGAGAGGAGTAACACAGCTTTCATTACAAAAAACTTTAATGAGAAAATTGCTATGGAGGGACGGTGGTCTCCAAACCTAGGACCACCTGCACACTGAGCACATGCTCCAGCCCTCATCCACCCCTTCCATTCTGATTTGTGAGCATCTGGAAAAGGTGAGGGAGTGCAACCATGCCACATGGCAATTCCACAATAAGGATCTCC